AGTTACACTGAAGTGACTCATTTTAACTTTGCAACAGTAAAGTATCTCATCACCTTAGGGTGGTATCTGAGCTCCTCAGGGTAAAAGAATTTATTCTATCAGCTCTTTTAGAGACCACCATTTTACAGAGATAGTTACTCTAGCCTCCAAAGAAGCCACACGAGCAGCACACGCAGAAGCGGCAAAACTGACCTTCTGAACAGTACCGGCACAGCCTCCCACTGCAACAATAACCCAGGTAGTCAGTTCCCTTTTCATCCTCAGCTTTTTTTGCCAAATAGGGATAGCACCAAATTATCACAAAAATGTTGGGGTTTGTTTTGGTTTTGTTTTTTTTTTTTGTTTGTTTTGGTTTGGTTTGTTGGGTTTTTTTGTTTGTTTGTTTGTTTTGTTTTTATTTTTTGTTTTTTGTTTTTTTTTTTGAGGATGAACACATCTTCTTGTTTCCTAGCATATTAGGACTTGTGACCAGGAGTGTAAATGCTGTGTATATACACAGACCATCACACAAAAAAAGCACAGTTGTGCACTGGGTCCACGTACTGGGACAGGAGCCACAACACTAGGGTATAGCTAACACCAAGCTGCACTCCTATCAGCCCCAGGGCTATCTGAGCACACTCATCCAAACGCAGACTTGGCTAATTTTCTACAAACCACTACCAAAAAACCCCCAAACAAACAAAAAAAACAATTCAAAAAAAAAAAAAAAAAAAAAAAACAAAACCACAAGGACATACACTGAACTGCGATTGAAATGTCAGATCACAGTTTGAGTTAGAAGGAAACTGCAAGTGCAATTAAGAAACCAGAGAAACTCAGTGGTCCTGTACAGATACATACAATCCCCTATACCTAAGCTAGCTACAGGTCCCTTAGTAGGATCTGTACCTCCTTTTCCTTCCCCTTCAAGACTGGAGCCCAGCCCACACAGAAATATTTTTTTATTGCTGTTTTAAGCTAGTCATGGATTCATCATGCGGATTCATCATGCCATTCCCATGTCTTTTTTTATCTGAGAACTAGATCCTACCAACAAGAACTCACACTCCCCTTAAATTCTGATAAACTCACTTGCTTTTTTCCTCACAATCCATGTCCTGTCTGCTGACACGATGAAGAAAACGGGAGAAAGAAACTTCAAACAACACTAAGCAAATTCACTGTTTATAGAAAAACTCCTTGGACTTATACTGAAGTCCTACCCCCCTCACAAGAAAATATGTACCTGCTGTGGAGAGACACACCAGCTGATCCCAATGCACACTTTCTCCCACCTGTACCCCTAAATAGCACACAGCTGGAGTCGGGCCTCTAGACAGCCCAACCTCTTTTTGCTTTAAGGGGCAGCAAACCAATTCCTGGTCCTCAACTGAACAAGGCATTCAGATGTGTAATAGCCAGTTCACACCAGAATAGTCACTGGGAAAGAAGCTACAGCTGCTGTAGTTTGTTGCTACCTCACTCTTAAAGAGGTTTGTGCTTAGGCAGCCATAGGAGCCTTCCAGCACATCCTTGTGGGTGGCAAAGCATTAGCAACCTGGCTAGCAAACAGCTGCCCTTCCTTCTCCTTCAGAAGCTCCGAAAAATTTATTTATCTACTATTTTTACTACTAAGGAAAGTAGGGCTTTATCTTCACAGCAGCCAAAAAATGCAGCAGCACATGTTAAATCTGCACTGTGGGTTGACCCTCCTCAGTTTTGCAGAATGCTCTCTTAGACTGAAATAGCCCAGACCAGGCAGCCAGCCATGCTGAGGCCAAAACACACTCCAGCCATCAGTATTTTTGCGTTGGGTCAAGCACGCAGATAAAAAGCACATGGTTCCTCATGCTGGGAGACTCTGGGGTTTTTTTCCTGTTTGTTGCTCTCTCTCGGGGTGTGCTTGGCAAGGATGGTGTGCATGCAGCAACCTCACTCACAACTTCTTAGCGAACTAAGGGGCCTTATCTTCAGTAAAATCAAAGCTCTGGCTGTACTTCAGCTATGCATGTAGAGGGGGGTGCCCATAGAAAGGAATTAGAGCTTGAACACAGAGCATAGTGAAACCTTAAAATCCTGAAACCGCATGACTGAGCTTTCCTAACTACACAGCAAGCACTTTGCTGTACCAGAGAACTCATTCCCATCAGAACACCAGGCATGTAAGTAATTTAAAGCAATAAAAATATAGCATGCCATCAAAAAATATCTAAATTGAAATGAAGCAGCTGATATTAGAAAACTGTGCTGAGGTTTTAAGAGTAGGCAAATGATAAGATATAAGGAAGAGAGGCGGTAGCAAAGAAGTCACCTTAATAAACTCTTTCTGTTGACCTATGTAAGGGAAGAGCCACCAGTAATTTATACAGAAAAGGTTGTACTCTTTTCCTCTGGTGGAAAGCGGGATTCAGAAGAAAACCCTTAAATCCTTCAAGACTGAAATTATTTATTTGCTCTTGTAAAGCAGGAGAATCAGCAGCTGACGTAACTCTGCTGTAGTCTCCTTTTCAGAGACTATGAAGAACTCATTTCTGAAATTTAGTGGTCACCCCTAAAAATTTTGACCATTAAAATAATTGTTGCTCTGGTAAAAGGCATTCTGGGCCACGAAGGGGTCAGAAATAGGCAACAGCAATTGCTGCAGAATTTGTTGTTCCAGAAAATTTTTGCTGAGAGTCACTGTTCATATTCTAGTGATGGCCGTGCAATTCTGTTTAATTCAGTCCAGAAGAAAAACATCCACTTTTTCACCTTATCTCATCTCTGTGTCCTAGAGAGGCTGATCACATATTAGCTAAACACCACAGATGCAAGAAACAAGAACAGTTTAGAGGGATTAGATGCAATGAAGCAAAACAGTATTTTCCAGTTTGCACCTCTCAAAAATGTAAGCATCAGCCCTGAACCTAACAAAAGATTAGTAATAACATGGGCACCTCAAAGTGTCATTTGGCATAAGGGGGTTGAAAATGTTTATGGAGATATGTCTGTAAGTGATTCAATAGAAACACAATTTTTCCTGAGAGACCAGTGACTGGGGATAAGGGGGGGCAGGGGAGATGACTTTACAAAGCCATCTTGCTAAAAGACTGTATTTTACTATTTAATCCTCAATTATACACATGACTTCATTGTGAAAAGGTCACCAGACAAAGAAGTTCAGTGAACTGGGTCTGAAGGGAGGGATTGTGTAGTAGGTCTCAGCTTTGCTCTTGCTGAATCGTTCCCCTAAATAGCATGAACATCATATGCCCCAGCAAAGGACGAGCCCGGTGCTCACACTTCCAGCGCGGGAGTTCTGGTAGATAAGTGGGAGTAACCAGAAATTGTCACATCAGAAAAAAAGATGTAGGGGAGTAAGCTTAAATTCACCTTACGCCTCTCCGAGCACTCGCACGGCACCTGGGTAACGCGGTCAGCAGCTTGCACCACAGGCGTGCTCGCGATTGCCAAAACCCGCCGCTCAGCCCACAGCCACGGCGCGGGAGGTGGTGGCGGCCGGTGCGTGGCTTCCCGCCGCGCTCCGCGGACACGGCCCAGCCACGGGAGCGCCCCCCCGCCCCAAGCCCCTCAGAGCTCAGCCGGGCGGCGAGGCTGGCGGCACTCCGCGGTGGGTGTGTGGGTGTCTGTGGAAGCGCTGACCCCACGCCGATCCCGCCGCGGGTGGGCGGCCGGCGCCCGCGGGACGGGGCGGGGCAGGGCGGCCCTAGCGCCGGCCGCCTCGCGCCCCCTCAGAGCCGCGGCGGGATGCGCGAGGGCGCGGGCGCGCGGCGGGCGCTGGCGCTGCTGGCGCTGGTGGCGCTGCTGGCGCGGCAGCCGCCGCGGGGAGCGCGGGCCCAGCGCCTCGCCACGGACACAGGTAGGGAGCCGTCCCGCCTTCCCCCCCCGGCCCGGGCCGGGCAACCTGTTGCTCACAGCGCTGCAGCTCCGGGGGTGCTGCCGCCGCCTCTGTCCTGGTCCCTCGGTGAAAAACAGCTGTTCGAGAGACAGAAGGCCCCCGAAGCCATCCTCCACTGACAGTTCTAACCCACACAGCTCCTAGAGCCTGGAAAGTGGAAAGGTAGGAGGATGCCTAACAGTTTTGTACTCAATTTTCAGAAAACCGGACAGGTTGTGTCCTTTCTTCTTCATCGGAGTTTCCTGAAGGATTTTTCACACCGCAGGAGAGAAAGGATGGAGGAATCGTTATCTATTTCATAATTATACTTTACATGTTTTTGGCCGTGTCCATTGTGTGTGATGATTACTTCCTACCTTCTCTAGAGATCATCAGTGAATGTAAGTGAACATCCTGATCTTTTTCCTGTAAATCTAAGCAGCTTGGTGTAGAATGTTATCTTTAAAAAAAGCTTCAAAGTTAGAGTGCTCTGGAGACAAAACTAAAGCAATTTCAGAGTCTCCGTGCATAGACTTATCAATACAATATTTGATACAATTTATCAATATTATATTGAAAAAAACATATTCTGATTACACTCTGGACTGGCATTCATTTAAAATTTGTTTTCCTTGTGCCTAGAGAAGAATCTTAAAACTTCCTCAGTATTAACTAAAGTGATGATATAACTGGGGTGAGCAGTAGTATGTCCAGGTTACTAGTATTAAAAAAAAAAAGGGGGGGGGCAGGGGGATTGGGGGAGTAAAAGAGAGACAACTCAACCAAGAAACCCAAGGTTCCCCTGTATTAAAACTTGGAAAAGAAGTACCTTGCTTGAGTTTTTGTATTTATCTTAGTAGATGAGTAGTGAGAAAGTATCCGGATGAGCTACTGTTTACACATTAAAGGTGTGACACAGGAGGGAAAGGCATACCAAGTTAAAATTGTTCTGTGAAGTCTAAATCAGCCTGTAATAATGCCCCTGGCTTCAGCAGACCACTAAATTCGAGACAGTCTTGGCTGAGAATTCAGCTTTTCATTGCCAAGAATTAAAAAAATTCCCTAGGGAAACTCATCCCTGAACACTGGAAAACATTCTCCAGACCAGAACATTTACAGAAAATGTAAGCTTAAACATTGCTGTAGATCTGGTATTATTTTATTGATGATAAATAAGCATTTGTGAGACTTTCCATAGTTAGCCATATGTCCCTGTTCTTAGCGTGCAGAACTTGATCCACATAGTGAGTTACATTTCAGAAACAGTCAACTTACCAGAACAAAAATCTCATTTCATTCAAGCAAGACACAGGCTCTTATACTGTCCATACGAAGTGAAAATTTAAGATCGCAGCACTGGTTTGAATTTAACTAGTATTTCTGGTATGTGAAGACACAGTAGCATGGCTTTCCCTGGAAGATAGATAGACTTGACATGGATCATGTAACAGTATCACACTAGAGTCTAAGGAATTCCCCCAGAATTACTGCCCATCTGAAAGAGAATTAAAGACCGCATACATATGCCTATTTTACATTTTAAGATCTTGCCCAAATCTCTTGTGTTCTCTGTACTTATTTTCTGGAATTTGAACTAATTTCTGTAATAAAGTTAAAAAAAATTAACCCAATAAATGAGGCTACATTTTCAACATATTGCTTTACCAATTTCAAATAAATACATTAACTGTATAAAAGTAAGAAAAGTTCATTCTATTAAACTGTAGTAGTTTCTAACATTATATACTAGTGCAAGTAAAGGGTACAGACTACTGAAGTATTTATTTTTTAAGCAATTCTCTTGCTCTATCCTTAGGCCTTGGCCTCTCTCAGGATGTTGCTGGAGCAACTTTTATGGCTGCTGGAAGCTCTGCTCCAGAGCTTGTCACTGCTTTTCTAGGTAAGCGACACATGTTTTGATTCCTCAGAATCTACAATTCTTTTCCTTGCATGCCAAACTGAAACGTACCAGAGAGTCATTTTCTTTATAGGAGTCTTCGTGACAAAGGGAGATATCGGCGTCAGCACCATCCTTGGATCAGCAATCTATAATCTTCTTGGCATTTCTGCAGCTTGTGGGCTGTTTTCCAGCGTGGTATGTATCGACTTTGATAGTTCTGCTCCTAAGAGCCAAATGGTTATCCTTTCTGATTTGCCAACAAAAGCCAAGAGAGACTTACTATGACAACTGCCAAGTTTATTATTTAGTAGCAAAACCAGCATGTAATCAGTTTTAAGATAACTTGCTATGAAAGTTTTTAAAAACACTAACTTGTTAAATATCATACTTAAGTCATTCCTAAGAATCTTAAATTTTTACATAATATAGAAACAACACTGATGCAGCATTTACAGCACTTAGTGAAAGTATTACAGACAAGTTTAAGAAAAGTAAATGAATCTGTGATCTGCAGGTTACGAGGCTATCCTGTTGGCCGCTGTTTAGAGACTGTCTGGCATATACAATTAGTGTAGCGGCGGTCCTTGCGATGATATCTGACAACAGAATTTACTGGTAAGAGCACAAGTAGTGTTGAATTCACGTTGACTGGAGACTGGTGAGACAGTGTGTTGAAAAGCAAACAAACAAAAAAAACCAAACCCCGAACATCAAGTAGCCTGAACTGCCATTCATTAACATAAAGAAAGATCCTGTTGGCTTTTAAAAAAAAAAAAATGTAGAAAGTCACAATGCTTGTAAATATTATTACCTAAACATTCAAACCATGCATATTTATAGTTTGATCTGCATAGGTTTGTCTGTATAGACTTCACAATTTCTATCATAACTGTTTTGGCATAGCAATTAGTCTTCATAGTTTACTCCTTTTGAGTCTTTCCTTTGATAGCATCACTGTTAAGAAAAACATTTGTCTGCCAGAAGCAGACTGTGAGCTTCTGATGTTTTAACTCTCTTCTGTCAACACAAACTCCTGTTGCCTCAACAAGGCAGTCAGGCCCAGCACTATGCCTCTGAAGTTTCTAGCTCAAAACAGTACATACTACCCCTCTCTCTAAGCATCACATGAAGACTCAATTCCGCAAACATCAGTAAGATCCCCTGGAAAACATGCAGCTATACAACACACAAACAAGATTCTGTGGGGGAGGGGAACTAATCAAACTGCTGAGAGACATGGGGACACTCATGAACTTTCATGACACTGGCCATACAACTTCAAATAGATGCTTTTGTGAATTCTCCTTTTACTACTCATGCAAATTTTCATCTCTCTCCTTAGCCAGCCATTTTAATGAGTTAGAGTTGGGGTTTTCTATATTACATGTTATGTAAAATCTATTTTTCATTCTAGGTATGAAAGTGCATCCTTATTATTGATATATGGGTGTTATATTCTGGTACTGTGTTTTGACATTAAAATCAACCAATACCTCATGAAAAAGTTCAGTCCCTGCTGTACGTGTTTTACAAAAGCTATGGAAGAGAATGCTGAGCAGCAACCACTGGTTAGATGGAGGGAAGAGAGTGGACCTCTAATTTGTCAACAGTCAAGAACAGATAGTGGAATTTTTCAAGATGAGCTGGACTACTCTCAACTTTCAACAAGCTTGCATGGGCTTGATGAAGTCTCTGAAGGTATAAGTATTATTAGAGTTGTCTGTAGCACTCTGCACCAGTTCTAATAGAGTAGATTCTAACACATTATTAAGATTTTGTTCACAAAAGAGCTCCAGCATAGTAGTTAAGTAAATCATTATTCTTCCCTGGAATATAACATTAAGCAAAATCAGAGTGGTGGTATTTATATGAACTCAATCACTAGAGGAATGCTAGGATAGTTGCTCATTTGTGTCATATTAGAACAGCAGACTTCAATCAATCTTTGCTGTGTACATTTGAAACTTCCCAGCAACACTTCTTGTAAAAATGCAGTATCAGCTGAAAACCATCAGCTGAAAGTATGTAAGTGTTTTCTTATGACAGTGGCAGGTTCATTAGTAAAGGAATAGCTATGACGCGGCCACAGATCATCAGTTTCCTCTTCACTTAGGCAAAAAACAGCAGTTGGTACTTACTCTTGGTGTAAACCTTTATAGAAAGGTTCAATTTTCATCCACCTTGGTTTCTCTCCTAGTGACATGGTAATAAAGAGCATCTGATTTCAGAGTTTCATCCAGTGTGATGTAGGTACTGGGTAAGACTACAGCTAGAACTTGAGGAAGTATTCTTTACCTTTTTTCAGTATTCTCACAAGTAGAGGCCAGTAATATAACTGTATGCTATTGATTCAAACAATGCTACAATTTCAAATATTTACTCTTTCTTCAACAGATCATCCAAGTGTCTTCACCATGCCTGAAGCAGATATGAAGAGAATTCTGTGGGTGTTATCCCTCCCTATTACTACACTACTCTATTTGACTATACCAGATTGCAGAAGACAGTTTTGGAGGAACTGGTTCATGGTGACATTTTTAATTTCAGCAGCATGGATTTCTGCAATAACTTATGTTCTTGTATGGATGATAACAATAGCAGGTAGGTGCCTAAAGTGCTGCTGCTATACAGAATCAACCAAACAAGAATCATTGGAAAAACAGTTTCTTCCTGTGAAGATTTTTCCTTTCCACAATTAAGTCAGTTTAGTAACACGTACTTTGCTGTGAGAAACCCACCAAACAAAACCAACAATAACTTATGTTTAACTGCTTAGTTTGCCACCTTCTTTCAGCTAATGAAAACCACTTTAGAGTTTAGCCGCTTCAGACTGCTTACCATCACCTGACTGAGAATTTGTTCACATGGCTACAAAAAACAGTCTCTACTTAAAAAGAGACATTTTCATTAAACTGCTTCATGAAGTGAAACAATTAAATACAGAGCAATAAACTTTTCATGCTGAAGTCTGACAAACATGGAATCCACCAAGACCGAAATTAAAGGTTCAGGGTTCTGTAAAAGATCCATTGTTTCTATACCTATATTTTTCTTGAATGCTATAGTAAGAGATTTGGCATTAAATTAACTGCCAAAAAACCTCCCAAGTTTCTGTACTATTTTATTTCAACTATAGCATCATGTGTTTATTAAACATTCTTGGTGTGTGTGTATATCTACCTCTTACAAATGTGCACCATAAAGTGAAGCAGTAAAATAACTGTATATGAGTGAGAGAAGAGGTATGAACTTGTGTGTAAAAATATTCTGTTAAAAAGAGCTTAAGATACTAAAGGTCTCCTCATTTCACTGTTTCTCCAGTCAGCTTGAGAAAAATCCAGTTTTTCATTTTAAGAACAAGCAGAAAAAAAAAAATCTAAACAAGAAAGAAATGGTACAAAGCTTGCTATTTCCACATTATATCTCACTAATCCTACTCAAATATTCCATTAGCTCAGCGTCCTGAACTTGTTTTCAACTTCAGTTCAATGAGTAACTCCTTGTTCAGTGCAGAAACAGACCTACACATTTGGTAAACCTTTGAGAAATTACTAGTAGATCACTGGATAAAACACCCACGAGGTTCACTCCTTGGTCAAATAATTTTCCACTTGTATCTAAAAAGAAAGGCTGGAAGCCTTTGAAACAGGATTCAAATGGAAGTTATTGCTGCTCTACTAGACAAAGCAGTAATTCATATGAAAGTCGATACACTGGAGATTTAAATAGTGTATTAGTGTTAGTCCACTTTGAAGAGCCATCACAAGCAATATTGGGGTCTTTGGCCCACTACTTCTAGGTCAAATATATTTACATGTTAAAATGCTAAAAATTACACACAGATTATATTCAAGGCCAGGTTCTTTCATGAAGGGTGACTCAAAGATTCTATCATTGCATAACAGCCTATCAGAATGTCACAAAGGTACAATAGCTGGGGACTAAATTTTGATGGTCAAGAACAAACCTAACTTAGTACACCTCTTTGTTGCTAGCAAAGAAAATGTGACTATAGCAAGGTATTGCTACCAATATACAAAACTAACTAAAGGGTAGAAAAATAAGACCATTATGGTCTTACCTTTTCTTATCTCTATGGTCAGTTGCCAGAAAAAAAACAAACCTTACACATTAAATAAAAGATAAATCTATCTAATAAAAAGAAAAATTAGATTCACCTGAGTTTAGATCCTATCTATAACCTTCAGAGGGCTAGAAACTACTGTTGGGTACATACGGCTGGTTCATTCACATTTTACCTTAGTTCGCTTGGCATGAACCATGACTTTCCAGCCTGGGTGGTTTATAAAAGCTGATCTTGTTGGTCCCTCATTCTACAAATCTCTTACATTAGGAGTGATGGAAGAATAAATACCAGTACAAATTCTGCATCAGGATGTTAGTTACTCTGAACCAACAAATAATTTCAAACATAAATTTACTGGGCTGATCTAGACTAAGCTGGTATGTACTAGGTAAGCATTGCTGAACTAGCTTACAGAATAATGCCTCTTATTTTAAGGAAACTTCTTATTAGTGTCCAAATACTGCAATTAAGAATTCAGATTTCAACAAAAAGATACTTTCTAGTGAACAAAAAAAGTAATTAGTTTTTCTTAAACTGAAGTAGTTTGAATAGAGGTATCAAATACTTCAGTATATCGATGCTTGTGAGTGATAAAACTGCTAAAACAGTTCTGAAGATCTGAATGCCTGTATTTTAAGTGAGAAATTAACATGCTTACAGGACATATGGGGCTGAAAAAAAATGGTGCAAAATGAGCTGCTGTTTTAGTAACAATTTAAAACTTTTCTTAATTTAAACCAGCATTTACCTAAACACTTCTAAAGGATTATTTGCACTTACAAGCCATATAAAAATTCTGCATTTTGATTCTTCCCAATACAACAAAAGATCTAATTGGAGTGAAATAGTAAAGCCATGTAGTTGAGACAGTATTGTAGTAATGAGCTTAATGACCCTCCTCCCCAAGATAATTCATGTGCTGTTTTATCTCCCCCTTTAAAGAGTGAGTGATTATAAGAGTTATTGCTCCATGAGACTTTTGAGCATGAATGAAAAGATGCCCAAAAACATAGAAGACTACTATATTTTCCAGAGGTTGAGAGGAAAAAAAAAAAGGGAGTAAATTGTTAGATATTTAAACTTCTACTGTACCTGGAAAAAAAATAATTTGTAATTGATATTGTCTTGACTACTGAAGACATTCCACTCGGGTGTCTGAGAAACTTGTTAAGTAAGATGGTTACGATACCACAATTCCTTTTTTATTTGATTGAAGAACAAGGACAGGATGATATTTCTTGGTTGGTCTTATTTTTAACTACTTCATGGTTCAGTCACTTCCTATTTAGTCAAGTTAGCTGACAGATTCCTTTTGAAATTACTGTATGATTACTAATCCTTTTTCCAGCAAATAAAGTCCAAAGCAGTTTATTTGCATGAAACCTAAAGTAAAAACATACTTGCATTTTCTACTGTTATTTATCAACTGCAGGTGAAACACTGGGAATTCCAGAGTCAGTAATGGGACTCACATTACTAGCAGCAGGAACAAGTGTACCAGATACAGTTGCAAGTGTGCTGGTGGCTCGAAAAGGTAAAGATTTTAGTATTCAGGCTCATTCCAATGGATGTGTTTAAAAGGTACTATGAAAAAAAGAATTCTGGTCAACATTTCCAGAAATTCAAGGCTTAACTTCCAAAATTTCTGCTCCAGATTCTAGAGCTTCAGTTTACTACTAACAAATAGCTTACCTGAAGAAGCTGTGGCTCAGATATTTAAAAACCTCTCAGAGTATCTTGGAGAAGTAGTCTAAATTGGTTTGATTTGTTGTTGATCAAGTGTTACAGTTTTACTGCAAAACACAACTGTAGGTCTTGGTATTATAAACATGACTGGATTTTATAATAGCCTGCCTGGTTTATTTTAAGTGCAACTGTGCAGATGCTGGTGATTTAGGGAGACTTTTTTTTTTTAACCCAAAACCATGTTCTGTAGAATGACTATAGTTCTTTCATTGAAAAGTCTAAAAAGGGTGCTCTGAGAAATTGAGGGCTGACAATCTGTTCCTCCAAAACAGTTTGTCAATTTCATACAATTCAATTAAGCAGATTTATTTGTATTTCTTCTTTTACAGGAAATGGAGATATGGCTATGTCTAACATTGTAGGATCCAACGTATTTGATATGCTCTGTTTGGGAATACCCTGGTTTATAAAAACTGCCTTCATAAATACATCAGGACCCATAGAAGTGAACAGCAGTGGTTTGACATACACAGCCATTTCTCTTATCTGTTCTGTTGGTTTTATTTTGCTGGCAGTTCACCTGAATGGCTGGAAAATAGATAAAAAATTGGGAGCAATCTGTCTTATACTGTACCTAGTATTTACTATATTATCAATTTTATATGAACTTGGCATCATAGGGAACAATCCTACAAGAGTCTGTGGTAACTAGTTTTAATCAGTGATTATACTGATGAAAAAAATAAAAAGGAGAGAAAGATCAGTTTCTTCATTTTGTCAAAATAAAAAATTAAAAAAAAAAATTCAAAACTCTCACTGGGCTCTAAATCTTATTTACAGAACTAAGTCATGTAATTAAAGTAATACTAAGTAAAATGAAAACATCACAGCCTAATTTGGAGCCCTTTCTTTTAGAGTCAAGAATTACAGTATGACTACAACACACATATAAAAACAAAATTCTGAAAAAAAAGACATCTAATTTTTACATTACAATGTTGGTACACACTGGGGAAAAAAAAAATAAAAATCAAGAAACACTAAACAAATCCCACTATGCAATCTTGAGATTAACAGAGAAAATGGCTTATTTTATTAAAAACAGTATAACCATTCATTTAAACTGAATGACTAGAGACACTTGGCCTAATTTTCCAAAGGCGCTGAGCATCCAAAGTTTCCACAGTCTACAGAGACCTGCAGGTGCTCAGTGCCTCTAAAAAAAACAACAAAAATCAGGCAAATTGTCTTTAAAAACCAAACATAGTAAGATTCAGTTAACAACTATCACAGTATATTAAACACTATACTGTTAAAGGCTGGTGGGATTTAAAAGTTCCTTTTTACAGCTTTTGTAAGCATACAATGTTACTAAAAATGACTTACTAGGATAGAGAAGCTAAACAGACATAGGAATGTTCCTGAACACACAGTTTTAAATTATGCATTGCGATCCAAGCGTACATCAATTTCTCTGCCACTGATTTTTATGCCGTTCATTATCCTACAGGCCTTTTCAGCAGATTCTGGTGAGTCAAATCTGACTGTTCCACAGCCCTTTGATTTTCCATTCTCCATTTTTATTTCTGCAAACATTACATGACCTGAATAAATAAGTTAAACAGCAGTTATTTCAAGTCTTCAGTGCACTAACAACTTAAAGAACTCATCAGAAGTGATAAAAAAGCATTTTTAAATATGATCTAGGGGAACATATGAAATTAGCACTTTCAGACTCGTTCAGGGAAGGTGACACAGGTCAAAACAGCAGTGAAGAATCCAAATTAAGATCCACTGCTTCAAATTTTTTCTTCACACTAGCAGAAGATGAAGTATGCCTGTACTTGACCTCAAGTTTGAGACAAAGTGCCCTACAAGGCTAAGGGAAAATTCTGTGTTTCATTCACCAACACTGCCAGAAGTGTGACTACTGACAGGCATTAACTTAATTATAGTTCAATCCAGTCCACCATGTTCACAACAGCAAGATATCAAGCAATCACAGCAATCAAGCAATTTTGTAATGAAGCTGCAGAGCAAATTTAAAACCTTTAAAACAGTAAAGTTACCAGGTTAGGAGTGGTGAAAAAGTAGCATGCACTATTCAATTCCTGCAGCATTTTCATGAGACTGGACACTCAATTACTTATGAGGCAACATTTTTATGTAGATGTCTTGGTACCTCAGAGAATGTTCAATGCCTGGAGCTAATGAGTTTTTGCTTATGGTATGTTGTAGCACACCACACCTGAGTCCTCAGATGCCACAAGAAACAAGAGACTTTTCCCTAAAATACATAGCTTTTTATTTTTAAGCATCATATAACAGAAGACTGGCCTTTCACTGAAAGAAATTGAATATACGGAGACATGGTCTTTATATTTCCTTACAATACTGGCAATAAATACAGTCTGTTACTTATGTTTATAATTCTTAAAAAAAAATCCAACATAATTACTGCATCTATTAGTTGCAGAGATAATATAAAAACAAAATTCTGAACTATCTGAAAGTTGCCCAGGCAGTTAAAACTTAAAAAAAAAAGATTGGACCTGTTTTGCTATATCCTCCAGCAACAATAAAAAAAATCTGAATACCTGCAAATTTTTCATACTCGAACTGAGAGTTCAAATTTATATCAAATCTACAAATAGCTGTACGAAGACTGTCTTAGGTATCAGTACTGTATTTTAAATTATTTGTCTTTTCTGTCTCTCCAAAATAAGAAAAGTCATCCTGTAATTCAGTTAAAGCTTTCCATTCTGAAAATGCGTTTTCAAAACAAAACAATCATATATTTCCACACCCAAGCTTAATTTTTAATTTGTTTCTGTGAAAATACAACTTTTCTGATTTAGATAAAAAGAGTTACTGGATATTTGTAGCAACTCTTTATCTTACATAAAAAGGGCCTTTATTTCTTAGCATAAAGGGTAAACATAGCGTGCAAATATGCTAATCAGGATCATCTATTTGCATAAAAACCAAATCTGCCACTTTGGCAAAATTACTAACTCTGATTTGATGCAGCACCATTTCTGGAAGTAACGCATAACCTGGACAGGCCAAGGCCTCTGCATGCATTTTTCTCAAAATACCTGCTACATTATATACTCTGTGTCAGCCAGAGGATACATAATACTTGTTTCAGGAAAGAAAAAGCTCAAAGATAGTGGCATGGGTTCAAGTTTATAGCAGATGAGCACTCAGAGGCCATACTATACCTTGGTCTCATATATTATGTCATGCCTAAAAATTATTTATGTAACTCAGGAAAGGTGGGGGGAAGTAAGAACGATTAGGCTAGCCGGACTCTTCTTTGGGATAAAGCAACCACCTTGTCTTCCTGTCCTTATCTTAACGAACACCATATAAAACATGAAGTCAGTGGAGCTCAGCAGCGATAAGATTCATATACATACCACACTGACTGAATTTCTCCTTTAGCTTCTGCCAGGTCAAGTCAAAAGGAAGCTAGAATAAAAAAAGCATTATTAATAACAAAATATTACAAAGAGAAAAAGAGCTTGTCAAACATGCACACAAAATAAGCTCGTGGTTTCTATGTATTCAAATGCTTACATTTCTCACAAATATCTGGTTGCCTTTAGAGCCTAATCTCTCTCTCATGACACTTCCCATTGGGCCAGGCACAAATCCTCGATCGATATCGATGTTCCTGTCCAGGCCTCCACCCATAGCTGGTCCTATTCGATCAAAACCAGAACTCATCCGATCCATCCCCATTCCCATTCCTCCAGCCATACTGTTCATACCACCCATTCCACCACCTACACAGAGAGAGAAAAGGAGGCTAAAATAAAAATATTTTTTAGAAATAAATGCACACATATTTTGTAAAAATAAATAAATAAATAAAATTCTTTTGTGTTGGGAGAAAAATAACTTTAATAAGACTGCTGTAATACAAAACATAACTTCATACACGCACAGTAATCAGTAATTTATCTAGTAGCATGGCTAATATTTTAAGTTAAAGTATTAGAAGATACAAAGTGTCAGTTCTAAAATAAAAGTTAAAAAACTCCATCAAGCTATTAGTCACACCATCTAATATAGTAAAATGTTGAACTCAAGAATTGAGATTTAAAGGCTGTCCAGTTTAATTAATAAAAATATGATACCCTGTACCAAAAAGAGGTCAGGTAACTGTGGCAATGTTAAGATACAGATAATTTGACCATATACACTATTGTTTATTTTGCCTCCAGCATTCACATTCAGTTTTACTTCATACAGCAATACACAATGACCCAAGCTTCTAGAGAAAGCATATTTTGCAGAGAACAGATCTTACTGCAAGTAATGGGAAGAACATGGACTTTCCTATGATACGTGCAATGAAATATATTAATGTATATATAATAAAGAACTAAGATCAATATCCTATTATAATATCTCTGGATTATTAATTAAAAATTCATGTAAAGCAAAACTATAAAGATCATTCATGAGAGACCTTCTCTTTAAGCCTGATGCCTCTGAAGATTGCCACTAGCAAGATTTTAGTTTCTCATCTGCTCTAGCCTGAAGAACTTGGGACATCTGTTGTAATACCAACTCAGTACTGGAGCTTTGCACAAAATGAAACTGAGTCATAATTTCAAATTCAGGGCTGACTTTTTTATTTCAATGATGGGAGATTACTGAAGCTCAGCTTCATGAAGTTCACACAAATAACTCTGCCTGTCTGTCTTTTTTCTGGAACACAAGTTTACTGGAATCACTTCTCTCTTCAAACCAGAGGTTAAAACCATTTCAAAACTAAGATTAAGGGAAAAACTGTGTATTAGCAAGTTTTCCTTTTCCCCTGAAATTTTACCTCAACAGAACAGCTTTACAAACTATTAGACTTGCAGTCACATGCAAGAGAATTCTAACACTGACACAACAGTACACTACAACAAAATCCTCTGACACAATTGCATGTATACCATATTACACTGCCTATGCATTTACATTCGATTGAAACGAGTTAACCTACTCATTCCAGATCTTACTGGGCCCATGCTAGGTGCTCCCATTCCTCCTGCAAAAACACCAATCATTGCACCACCTAAACAGAAAAAAAATAATGAAGTGACATACACTGAAACCACCAGTTAGTGACAACAACAAAGCACATGCTGATGAAGTGCGCCGATCTCAATGTTACCTGGCAGTTCTCTTCTACCTAGACTTTAACCTGTGCTTCTATTATTCAAACTAAATAGGAAACATTCAGTAAGTAACATTAGTTCCTCCTTCTCTATTATGGGATTTGAGCTACTACCATTTCTTCCTAGCTTTCTCCCCTCTGACAGTATGCCAGCGGCACAAACATCTTAAACTAAATCAGCCATTTCCTACATTGGGAAGCACAGCCTCAAAACTGAAAGGTTCTGTTTATTTGAACTTCATAGTACAGAAATCCCCTAGTTTCTCCCATTTTTAAGAAAACAATGCAAAAACTAGGAGCAGGTCTCCCAATATCTTTACTGCATGTGAAGAGCGATGGAATTTGGTGGGAAAAAGGGAGAAAGAAAGGAAATCGATACTTAATAAAAGCTATTTGGCAGAACCACGGAATCTCTCGAATGGTATCAGAGACTGATTCTAGAGTGGGGTAAAAATAATTCTTTTCATTGAAGTGCTAATAATCAGGAAAGTATTCCCAAGGGAGCTTCTAGAGTTGTAGAAACTCAAAAGAACCACATTCCTGTCACTATAGAACAGTAGAACTCTCAGCTGCATTTTTCTTGCTTGATTTTCATACCTAAAAGAAACAGCTCAGTTTTTACTTGTGGCAAAATAGATCAGTAACTGTTGTCTTTAGGTTAGACACCTTTGTTCTAATATCTAAAAAAGGTCACTGCTGAATCTTACATTGGATTCATTTTCTCCACACAGTTCAAAACAGCAACAATGGTTCCCTACCAGTCTCTTGTGAGAAATATTTATCTCCTCTCAAAGAAAAGTCTGTCATAGCCATACCAAGACCTCAAAAAATAGGCTAGCCTGTTTTAAAAAAACTAACAATTTTCAACACCAGCAGGATTACTCCCAGTACTTCAGCCAACAGTTTGCATACGAGGAAGATCTTAATACTTAGTCATTAAGCCAGAGAAGGTCTTGCAATGAAACACCAAATCAAATTTTGAGATTGCTGCTAACATGACTGGTTTTTGCCTTTAAAAAGAATTGTGAAGAAAAAAAAAAAAAAAAAAAAAATCCCCTCTTTCCCAGAGCTAGAAAACCTTAGTTGTTTGTGAGTGCCTCCCAGTTACGCCCACTCTTTTAAAAAGGAAAAAACTCTCCCCAAAAGGTTAAGATGCAGTTTAAAAAAAGCAACAAAAAACAAGACAAAAAAACCCACACAAACCAAAGCAATAAAACCAAAAATATCCCTGCAAGCTGAAATAATCATAATAAGATTTCAGCTATTTCTGACCTTAGATACATACTTTACCTATACTTTTTCCCCCCACTGGCTTTTTACCAACAAAAAATCATATGCTCAGAAACAGTCTATGACACAGCCTTTGCTTTTTGGATGCTTCAAAATTCTGGCAATTTAAGTGGCAGCTCCAATGATTCTGATGCAAATCAAACATCCTCGTTATCACTAATAGATGCCATTGCCCAATTAAAGACTGTCTTAAGTTGCCCTCCTTGACACATCATTTCATTTTAAGATAACATTAACCTAAATATTTTAACAGGGTACACTAGGGTCTTTCCTGATTAAACACAGTATCTATTAACTATCAAATCTGTAAATCCCTACAATTTCTTTCCATTATTTAAGGATAAGTTGAGAAACTCTCATCTTGGTTCTCTGAACAGTATTTAAATGGTAAGATTGCTGCTGACAGGTTATAAGTGGAAGCTTTCTGGATCTACCAAATTAATGATTCCCACATCAGTTTCTCACAGTGGCCATGTTAACGTATTTCAAAATCAATGTGTGTTACCAGAAGACTTGGAAGTCTATTGCTCGCATGAACATTTATAACTGAAGTGGTTTTGGATTTTCATGCAGGAAACAGATGTTTATTCTACGTTGCAAGTAGACAGAGTGAAAGCATACACTTGATTTCTAAGACATTAATTTCAAGACATTAAGATTAACTCAACTGACAAGCTTACTGCATTCCTATCACTTCTACACAACTATCAGTGCTTTAAGAGAAGCACACAAGAGTTATCCTGTGTTATGACTTGTCCAAATTAAAAAAAAAAAAAAACTGCAACAAAAAAACCCAAAACAATAATTACAAAAAAAGCAAGAAAGAAAATTTTTAAAAATTTCAACTTTCAGACCAGATGAACCTTATGCTCTTAGCAGCTCTTCACTTTCACAGTATGGCACTGAGGGGGAAGAAAAGTGACAAAAATGGGGAGGAGGGGGAAGAAAACCCATCTCCTATGATGTGTTCTTTCAGGTAGCAGCACTGTAACAAAGTCCAAGAAGGCTCTACTGTTAAGCATGTCCAGGCCTCTTAAGATAGAAAAGTACCTCATCTGAGGGAACCCAAAAGTAATAAAATGAACTCTGTCAACAAGGCATCATCTATAAACAAAACTGGCTCAGTTACAGAAAAGGCCCATAAATCCCATTCTGAGCTGCTTTTGCTCAGAAGGCAGGAAGAAAACAGAGGGCATCAAAATTCACCATTCCTATACAGTGCTACTTGATTTGCAGTAAAAGCAGGTTTCCAGCATGCATGTGCAAAAGCAGACTCCTGGAAGTTACAAAGGTGGTACACAGGCAGCTTATTCAAGATTACCAGAAGCATATACTTTAATGCCCAAAAGACTTACTACCTCACAAAGTTAACAGTATAAAGCTAAATGCTTTCCTCAAATCTCTGTTTTGTTTATATTTTACAGATGGAAAAAAACCAAACCAATACAAACACACACTTCAACCTCTGTCCTTCACAATGGCTATAATAAACACTCAGAGTATGTTCTTATGACTGGGGAAGACAGGGCAGAGGAAGATGATCAAATGAAACGAGGTCTCCTCCTCTTCTATAACTCTTCCAATACTATGCTTGCCATTTGCCACAGGAAATTTAAGTTACCATACCCATCCTTCCAAAGGAATCTCCAAAACCACGGTTCAATGCCATGTCACTACGACCAAAGTCTCTGTCCATGTTTCCTCCCATTCCACCACGGAACATTTCTGTAGAGAACAAAGCAAAAAAACCAAAAATATTCTGTTATACACATCTATGCTGATGTTCATACAATACCTGGTCCACAGCTCCTTGTTTAAATGGAACTGGGCTTAACACACAAGTCAGAGACACCTGTTAAGTACTTAACACTCACACGAGTGCCTATGCCTTCATTCATGCCACTGACTATTTCCTTTGAAGTCATCTACATTACCCATCCCTAAAGGAAGAACTTTATTAAAGAAATGTTAGCAAACGTAAGCATATAGGAAAAGCGTTCACCTACCTCCCATTCGGTTGACTCCAAATCCTCCCATATTAGGCATTCCTTCCATTCCACGAAATCCAGCAAGTCCTGTAAAATAAAGAAGAGTGTTTTCTATACAATATTAAGAAAATAGTTAATGCAAAGAACTTCACTACACGTACCGCCTCCCATTCTATTCATTCCACCAAATCCTGGACCGTCTATTCCCATACCTTTAAACCAAAAAGACAAACACCATTTAGAAGACATGGTAAGATCCTAATGGATTTAAAAAATGCAGAGACAGTTAAGATCTCAGAAACACACTATGAAAGGCTTGCTTTGCCAAGGGTATGTCATTCTTCCAAACACAGAAATGACAATTTTAAACTTAAAGCTCTCCAAACTTAAAAATGAAGAGTACAGATTTACCTCCTGGACCCATGCTCCCCATTCCACCACCCATGCTCAATTGTGTTGCACTGATGGGCTGTCCACCTGGTCCAAGTCCCATACCAATGCCACCAAGACCACCTTGAAAACAAAAATAAATATCACCAGTAGATTTTCTTCTGTTATCATAAATAGACCACAGTAAGCAAAAGTACTACCAAACTGTTTCAAGACTCTGTATCAATATATATTACATGCAAGGAGTAGAAAACAGAATGTACACTCACGAGGTAATTGTGAGGTTTTACTGTCTGCAACACGGAAATCTTCATGAGGAACTGATTTGTCATCCTGATAAAAAAAAAGGATGTTATGCTACGTTCCTTTCAATGTTTTGGCAGATTCATGTAAGGTAGAAAGAAATGTAAGCAACTTACCATTTTTACATGCATGGGTCTATCAAAGAGGAATTGTCCATTGAACATAGCTGAAGAAATGCAAGTCAAGGAATCTAACTAGAAAATACAATTTAACTATTTCAGAAGAATCATCATAAGTTATTTTATTCCTGTATTATTTTTTGGGGTCTTATCTTTCCTTACCTAATCTGTAGAATTCCAGTTCAAAGGCCAGAAGAGACCATACAAGCTGTTAGGTATATAAAAGTTAAGTTTCACACGTCACATTCCCACATATTTTAAGCTTGTTCAATGGTTTCAGGAACACCTTTTTAGACTCTAGCAGTAAACTCAGTCACTATTATAAATGTAATCTGCATATAATAACACTCTAGTCCCTATATACTAGCTACAAAGCTAATCAGCACCATTTGCAAAACTACGCTATCAGAAGCCGTTGAAGATTAAACCATATTTGATCAACTGTTTTTCAAAACCAAGGATACATATTGCTTGAACAGCTTCAATCGCCTGCTCAAAGGTAACTGTTCCCATTCCTCGACTCTTGCCATCTTTATCTTCTTTGATGTCTGCACGCTTTACATTTCCCGCAATGCTGAATACCTCCTTCAGCTTCTTCCAGCCAACTTTAAAATCAAGCTTACACACAGAAATAGATTAGATTTCAATGCACATTCCTGTTCTGCCATGACATTTGGAAGAGATTTTCTGCATTGTTGTAACTCTTCAGCATCACCAAATGCTTGATATATGTAAACAGAATTTTGTAACATTCACACACTGCAACTGAGTACAAAAATGTTAACTAAAATCAACAATTTATACTACATATATCTATTCTACTTTAATCATCATCCTAATATTGAGAAATGGATGGGTTCTTGTCAAGAGCACCTGTACTCCCACAAGTCCCCTTGCAGACATAGTACTCTTGTGCAAATAAAGAACTCATGAAGTAAGCACCTCTAAATTTGTTAGTCTACAGTAACTAGCAAGATAAAATGAAGTGCATAATTAAAAAAAAAATGCAATTGTAGATAGATAGAAAAAAGATGTATAAAATTTTTTTTTGAATCAACAGGTAACTGTGCAATAATTAAAAGTGCATGTCAGCCTCAAGAGTTTAGTATCTTTCATATCCCAAAACTGTATACATATCCAGCATTTGTAGCTGAATATACTAACTGTGAACTAACAGTTCCAATTTCTTCTTTATATTAAAACTTACTTATGCAGGAAAACAAGATGTTTTACAAAGACCAAATATTACAGTTATAAAATACAGTTTTAAACTTACATTAGCAACAAAAATAGTGGACCCGAGCCTGCCTGCCTGCAAGTTACTGATAATCTCAGGAGGAATGTTTGGATTATTGAGAATAGAAGGTGGTAAATTCATTAGTCCAGGTGCCACATCAGGTCCATGTCCTCCTGGAAACTGTCCTCCTACACGCTGTAATGCCCTACGAGCATGTTCACCTTCAGGATCCTGAAACATGGGCAAAAATAAAGCCAATTTAATCATCAACAAGAGGACTGGCAACAAACAAAAAGGTACTATTTGAAATTCTACATAAACCCATCAAAATTATCAACTAATATCCTTGTCCATGTCAGAGGGATCAAGAACTGAATTAGCATGGAGACCTAATTCCCTCACCTCTAGAGGTGGGTCCTTTCAGATGAGGGTTGAGGCATATTGGCAAAGCACTTGTTGAGGAAGCGTGCACTGCCACTTCACATGCTGTACCTAGCCTATGGACAAGTAGAAAAGATTTCAATCTAAAGGACTGTCAGTCTAGAACCTTCTTCCAAGAACTGAATTAACTTAATTAGGTTTTTTATTTATCGATACCATTATTAAAGTTGTAACAGGACAAAAAGAACTGCAGACACTGTCATATACTACAACACTACAACAGAAACGTTGACATTAATTTCACTTTCCAGTCAGCACAAGTTGCCTACTTCCAGCCCCATTTTTGCACAAATGTACGAGTCTGATACTCAGCTCACTCTGTGTCATATTTTGAAGCAGGTAAGCAACATAAACACAGAATCATTTAGGTTGGAAAAGACCCGATGACACCAAGGTAAGAATATGAAGTTAAACTTGTTTCAAAGAAAAACAGTATTAGATTATTTTGACTTTAGGACACACTTTTTGTCAGTTCACTTGGCATAGTATCAAGACCTCCTGCAAGCCAACAGGCACTTTAGCCCATTAAGAAAATGTCATCAAAAAAATTAAACTAAAAATTACACCACTAAGATGCTCAAAACACTGTATTGTCATCTCAGTAGTTATAATATCTTCACTATTTCAAATTAAAAACAGCAGCAAAAACCATACCTCTTTAATATTCAGGGGTCTTCCACTAAGATCATATTTGTTCATAGTTTCTAACGCTTTCTTAACAAATTCTTCATCTTTGAATTCAACCACACTTAGAGGGAACAAAACATTTAGAGTATTAAAATAAAGTCTAAAATGTTAAAATTAACAGAATATTTGGATAGTAGTGTTTCTAAACACATAGAAAAAGAAACTTACCCACAACCCTACATCCATGATGATTTGTCATCATATGTAAAGAGAAAAAAAAAGTAGTCAGTCAAGACATATGATAGAGCATTTAAGATTCCAGTTAAAGATCCCAGCTCACTGTTAAATAACTATTCAAGTTATTTTCAGCTTCAAAATCCATAATACATGCTCTTTACTGGTAGCCAAGCTGAATTTCTCCTATTTTCTCAACATACATACCTTTCAAATTCAAGAGAATATATTATCTTTTATTCTCTTTGAGCCAAACCACAATTGGAAAAATGCCACACAGATCCATGTAAGGACAACTGGGGAGAGGAGGTGGGGAGAAAAGGGAGGAAAGAAAAAAAAAAAAAAACACCAAAAACATAACCAAAAACCAATCAAGACACTCATTGTGTCATTAAAAGCTGCCCACTGACTACAAAATTCAAATCTACCTACATCAAGTATACCAGTACTATGAACAAGAAGCCTGCATACCCCTTCAGTATTACTAGCATAATTGAGAAATTACTTTATAAGAAAATAACCTTATTGACTGCACCAGAATCCTTCTAATAAAGCAAAGAGTTGAGGATTGCTTTAAGTAAAGCAAAGCTGACGGCATGTTTTAATTTGAACAAACGTTAAAAGAAAGTCATTTACAACAACTGATACCACCTCGGTTAAGACTCAAACCTGCATTTCTCATGTGCTCATGCAGGTTTGGAGCTACTATTGGCCAAACTTTTGACTATTTTTAAGAAGACAAAGGAGCTTTAACAATCTTCACTCTTAGCGCCTCATTGCTGGCACTCTGTTGGCTACCAACCATCTCCATCCATTTAGTTTTAAGAAAGCAAAGGCATTAATCCAGTGTTTCGAGTACCAACCCTGCAAAGCTGTCAAATCAGGCAATTCAAACAGTATATTCTTAGCTAACATTTTATACTCATTGGCCCCAAGAAGAGAATACTACACTAAAAAAATGTAAATAAAATCAGTGGTTTATTGAACATCCTTTATATGAAACAGATTTGTACCAAAACAAAGATGTTGGCTAAAAAGAAGAATTAAGTAAATGCCACTTGTTAACATTTACAGAAGTATTTTGTCCTTTACAGCCAGCTAGTTTGAGTTTCATGGAAGTGTCAGACTACTGCTAATACGAAATCCTCAAGGCTATCTTAATGAAAATCAGTGTAAAAATGAAACTTACTTTCCGATAACTGGTACAGGTATTATACAAAAATAAAACTGCTGAGGAACTTTTAAACCTCTAGCAGATTGTTGCCCACGGCACTTACCCTTGATTTTCCTTCAGCATCCTTAAACAGCTCCACGTATGTAACCTCACCAACTACATAAGACATACAAAGGGAAAATACCAAGAGACAATGCATTTAAACACCAATATCTTTCTTTACTGTGCCCCTGTGCACAACTCTACAGAGAAGCACCTATTATTCACCAACAATCAAAACCAGACCAGCATACCTCCTGTCAATGGCTATGTAATTTAGCTAATTTTCAGAAATATGCAGCAGCCACATTCTCAAAAACTAAAAACAAACAACTATATTTAACCTAATTCATACTACAGATCATATTTTGGCCAGTATGATATAGTTGGTGAACAAATTCAGATATACACAGTCCCTTAACCTAACAAATGAAACGTCAACGTTCTCTGGAAAGTGTTACATTTATCATCCTACTCACACCACCTGTTTTAAGGTGACTTTCTACCTGAATGTCTTCAATCATAAGTTTGCCTTCAATAATAACCAAATTTACACATCAAATATTTCACAGCAAGCCACTCACTTTCTAAAGTAGGAAGTTTCAGTAAATAAACAAATGAAATAGTCACGTCACCTTACAACAGATAAACCAGCAGTTACAGAAGGGGGGTTTTGGCATTTTTCACAGCCTAAAAGCCAGGTGTGCTTTGCATTACTTTTGAAGAATCAATTTTTTCGAGGAAAACACAGAACTAACTTTTTACAAAATTCATGTATTAGCATTATTTCACCCCAAACAAAAGAAAACGTTTGGGGTAGTAAGATTACTCTATCAGAACTACAACAATAGTAACAAACTTTTAATACAAATCTCCAGACAAACAGTCATGGCAGTAGTGACAATGCAGACAAAGTTAATTCCACAGCCAGATTCTACCAAAGAAATACAAAACAACTTTTGAAAGACATCCTTTATTATTCATATTAACACACTGAATGTGTTGCTTAAATACAATAGCCCTTAAAAAAAAAAAATCTACAAAGACTACAACTAGACGAAACACAATCTCTTTAAGAAGTCATGAGGTCATGCATATACTCTCTACTGTCACACTAGAATGGCAGAAGATTGTAAGCACTTCGTTGACCCATCCTACCCTGCAATGCAATTGTCTCAGATGAAAGAGGGGGAAGGGAGATAGATGTACCAAGTAAAGGCCCAAAAAAAGAAAAAAAAGTCATCAAATCTGTGTGGCTCAAAGGACATACACAATGCATTTAAGTTCTACCCCTTTCTATGTGAAGTGTATTATAAGGAATAAGTTACCTTTCTCTCTCATAAGATCTTTAATAGCTTGCCATTTCATGTCATATGGGATGTTGCTGATAAAAACTCTATTACGATTAATAGTCTTCTTCTCTCCAGTGCCTGCATTCTTGTCCTTTGAATAAGGGTGGAATCTATTCTTGTTTCCAAGAGAAGGGATTGCCTTTGGTTTTGCAACGTACTTCTCTTTCACAGGTGCTTTCTCTTCTTTTGCTGTCTCATCATTATCCCTACATTAAAAAAAACAAACCCCAAACAAAAAAAATTTTAGTCTTATACTGGATCATTCGACTATTATGCCTCCTATATAGATAGATGTATACGTCCTGTACTATAAGAACTCCCAGGATGTCAAATATTGCTTTTCAAACGAGGAAAAATAATTCCCTATTACCAGTCTAATTCCAAAATACGCTGCTTTATCTAGAACAAAAAATAATGTTACATTAGATTTATTCACTACCCTAAGTAAAGAAAGCACATCTTGCTACTTCAGTTACATTCCATTTCCATGATGTCTGTCAAGATTCAGCACGACAGTACAATGAAACTACTACAAATATCTAAATACAACTCAGATGAAAAATAAACTACAGCATCCATGCTTTGGTGCTTCCATAATTTTCACATCAGACTTGGGTATGTTACACAATATTCACCACAGAAATGAGATTTTAAATGGTCTAACTTATGGATCAGGTTGGTATACTTAATTCAATGCAATAATAATATTATTATTATGTAATAATAATAATAATATTTTATCAACTCTAATAGGCTGTAAATTAAATTACATTTTATTTACCACATAATTTTTATTCATGATTTTTGACAGTCTGCTTTTAGACAGAAATTAAAATTCAATTAAGAACAACAAATGCTCTTTCATTTTTATTGTTTAACATTGCTAGAACTTGAAAGCTTGCTAAATGCATAGGAAATAGCTGTATTCAGACATGCTCTGCATTTAATACTTAAGTCACCAGGTATTACCCACTAGAAACAACAACATAATAGACTTCGGGCCCTTAGTCTTTCATAAATGTAGCAACAACAGCTGCTCTCCTCTTAAAATCTTATTTTTATATGAAAAATCAGTAAAACTTTGCTTCCCCTCTTTTAAAGCAGCCCAAATCTCAGCTTTGATAAAACTATACACTTTGAACAAAATTCAATGAAATATCCAAAACTCTTTAGCACTCTTGATAGTGTTACCATCACAAGGTGATTTAGCATGCTAACAGAAGAGCAAGGTGCCTGAATTGTTACTTTGAAAAAGGTGAACTGCTGAACAGGAAGAACCCAGTGATAAATGCACACCAATGTGATCCTCTAAACAGATGCTACTTGGATATATACATCAATGTCTAGTTCAAATCTCACCACAGTTAATGACAAACTTAAAAAGTAATTTTATACAAATGGTTATTTTAAAAAGTCAGCATTAGCCACTCAAATTAGAACAATTACAAGGAAATGTCCTACAGGACTGTCAAAAGTGATTGGTTCTAAAACCTCCTTCTTAAATTATATCACTATCTTTAGAACTTTTCCCACATTTCAGAAGGCTTACTTTTTATCTCATTTTGACACTTTGGAAGGTTTCTGGTGTAAAATTAGCCAAAACAGGCATTTCAGTTTTACAACCACAACATATGGCAAGATCACTGATTTTGATTAATCGAAATGAGTATTTTCAGCTCTCTGCATAGTTATTAATAAAACAGTGAGTAAGTGGCAGTCTTGCACTCAAGAGCACAAGCAAGTAGCCTTTCATAAAGCTAAATGCATTATCTACTCAAGCATGTGCACTATTCAGGGAGGAAAATTCAAATACATCCATATTTCTCCCATGACTATCTCCCAAATTTTGAAGTACTCCTATAAAATGAAATTCAGAGTCCTTGAGTTTACAAGTAGATTAAAAGAGGACTGGCAACTAAGAAATGTGTGAACACTCCTCTGGGCTAAGTATTTGTAAAATTTAAAACATTCAAAGTCAGCAACACATTATCTGGTTCAAGCATCCTCCAACTTCCCTCTGCAACATCCCTCTTCCACACCATTCCGTCTGTTGTGGCAATACAATTCTTCTGTGACTGTGTAATGAAGTGAAATGGAAGGAACAATGCAGGGAACTGGAAGTAGCCAGAGGGACTGGGGAAGGAAAGAGCAGAGTATCAGGTTTTCCAGTCAGATCAGTTCCTTCCAATTTGGTCCCATTTGCAAATGAAAAACTCCTGCCCAGTGAGACCACTAGTAAAATCCAAGTCTTCCTTAAATTTTAGGATTAGAGCAATGGATTCTCTTTAGCCTTTTAAACTCTTTCCTGCTTAAAGGATTATGAAACAGTCCCCGAGTCCTCAGTGTAGTGTACAGGAAGAGCCATGTCTCCAAATATGAAATCCACAGACTCTACAAGATCTGGCTGTTACAAACCAGTAGAGAGCACAGAGGATAAGAGTCTATCATAAACTCTTAAATCTGGGGAGCAATAAGACATTCCACCTAGTCTGGGGATCACAGCCAGTCTCCTGAAAATAGAGGAATAATTAAAAATCCTTCATGCAAAATTCACCTGCTAAAACCAACACGGGCCAGTAAATGAGCTGGAGGCAGAGACTCTTTTGTGGATGTAGCTCTTACCCTCCTCCTTGAATATTAAAAATAATTTCAATCAAATAATGAACTCAAAGCAATGTCACATTAGTCACCTATAGACCACAGAAAAAACAGTCTCAGAAACTATAAACTGGTATTTCCCTGGGGGAAATACAATAGTAATTTCTACTCTACCTTTTGTATGAACTAATGATTTTATACACTCAGTTAATATTTGCCTGTGAAATCACTAGATTTCTAGGGTTGAAAATGTCTACATTAATTTCTTAAAAAAAAAAAAGTCCTCATTGATTAGAAAGAGCAATTTTTACCTTTTGAAAAATAATGCCTTTGAACTTCCATAAAGTTTTGGAAACAAAAGACAAGGTTTCCATATACAAAACTAGAAGCCTAAAAATAATAAGCACAAGGTAAATCAACATGAAAGCCCTAAAAACTGGGGGTTTTTTTTAAACAAACTTCTACTCCTCTGCTTACAAGTATCCATACAAATAACAAGATCAGCAGAGACAGAAATGCAAGAAGCCCACAACATGTTATTCTAAAACACACAGATCAGTTTAGCTTTGTTGTGCTGAACAGTTCCACTGCTCAATAAACTTAGGACAGTGTGAAAGTTGAAACCAGGGCTCCTCTCCAGTTTAATCTGAGCGCTAAGGGAACCTGGTTACTGAGATGCTTTAAGTAGTACATTTCAGCTGTACACTGACAGCTTAATCCTTTGTACACATGTTTTGGGGACCACTGGCAACTGTATGTGAAAGAACAAGATTTGAAACTCTGTTACCAAGAACTCTGCACTATATTCAAACTTAAAGTTGTGATTTCTACCACATGGAATGACTGGGATTTTTCACTTGCTTGTGACTAGTTTTGGGGGGAAAAGAAGAAAATTGCTGACAGAAGGAGGGATGCAGAGAAATTAAGTCATTATTTTAACAGTAGCAACCCCAAAAGGCAATAAAATGTTACGTGACTCAAAGGTGCAAAAGGGTCACAATCTTCCTGTGAAAATTCAGTAATCTCTGTAGTCTGAAAGCTGAGAGCTAAACTCAGGAAAAAAAACCCAGCTGTTTTATGGCAATGGAAAATTTATAACTTGTAAACTATTTTAATTTCACTGGGAGTCAAGTAACGGCATGAAGTATGCCTTTTTTCCTCCAGCTTTATATTGAACATGATCCCACGTGGATTTTTTAAACACAACAGTATCAGACCTAGGCTACTCTGAACATGCCAAAACTCCACAGATCTCAACAACTTTGATGTACAACAGTAAGTCTACTATAAATGCATTTTCCCTCCAAGATTGTGAATGAGATTGGAACAGATTTTGAAATTCCAGTAACGAGGCCAAAACCTAGTTCACGTAAAGAATTACAACCCTCGAAGCCTGGCATCAAGAACAACCAAACTCAAAAAGGTTATTCACAGTATTGTTCTGAAGAGCTGTTACTTCTGGCTCCATTATGCGATGTTCCTTTCAGACCTGCTACATAAGGCACAGTTTGCATGTTCCATATACGATCATGTTACTATTTACAAGGAAGGCTTGTGCATGTATGTGGGGGGTGTTGTTTGTTTTTAATAAGTAAAACACTAAAGGGCTGCCTTACCGTTCTCACACAGAGATTAGTTCAAAGGCCTTACAAAACATACCCCTACGGTAATAAGTGGAAATGTAAATAAAACCAGAAACGATCCAGAACATTTCTAGAAACAGAACCTGAGAGAAGCGGCCTGACGAGGGCCCGTTCCAGCAGCCCGAAGGCTGCTGCCCACCGGTGCAGTCTCCCACCGCCGACACCGCGGCTCCCCGCGCAGAGCGCCAGCGCCCAGCGACCGCGAGTTCACCAAGAAACTTCACCTTCCCCCACAGCCAGGCCACGGCCTCCTCCCCGCATCCTGCGCGGGAGCTCCCCGGGGTGGGATACGCCTCCCGCGCAACCCCGGCGCCTCAGACCCAGGCCCCTCTGCCGCACCGCACCGGGGGCTCCGCGCTGGGGCCCTGCAGCGCCGGACCGACTCCGGCCCCCGGCGGGGGAGGAGCCCGGTGGGGCGTGGGGGAGGAGGGGGCCGGCCGCCTTCGCCCCGCCGCGGCCTATGCGGGCCCGCCGCACCCCCGCGCTGCCCTGGCCGCGCTGCCCCCCGCCCTCCGCCCGCCCCGGCCCCGGCCCAGCACACACATTTTGACGCCATTAGTGCTGCCCCCGCCGCTCTCGGCTGCTGCTGCTGTCGCTGCTGCCGCCGCCTCCTCATCCTGCGGCTGCTGTTGCTGCGGCAGCGGCTGTTGCTGCTGTGGTGGTGGTGGTGGTGGTGGCGGCGGCGGCGGCGGCTGGCTGGCGGCGGCCTCCTCGGCCCCGCGCGGCGGCGCGGCAGCCGCAGCCTCCGGCTTATCGTTCTCCGCCATTTCGTGGCCGGGCCGCGGCCCCGCTACCGCTGGGTTTGAAAAGGGCCCCGAGCGCCTCGGCCTCGCCGCGCCGGGCCGGCCAAGTCTCGCGAGAACGGGGCTTGGCGGCGGCGGCGGGGGGAGGGGACGCGCCAGGAGGCTTCACGGGTTGCCATGGCGGCGCCGGTGGGCTGGCGGGCCCGCGGCCGCGTCCCGCCGGATCCGCCGCTCGGGGGTGTGACCCGGCGGTCCCCGCCCCGAGCGCTGCCGCCCACTGCTCCCCGCCGGGCACCTCTGCCCGGGGCCCGGGCCTGCTCCCACTACTGCGTAATTCCCGCCCCGGACAGCCGCCTCCCGGGCAGGTTTATCTGCCTAAACAGCGCGGACAAATTCCCCTAATTCGAAACCAACCACCTCTTGCAGTGGGCAGCGACCCCCGCCCAGCACAGCGGCAGGCTGAGCCCCAAGGCCAGCCGCTGGCGGGAGCAGGGGTGTAGACTGAGTAACAGCCTGTGCTCGGGTTAATGCCTAAACTACAGTGACACTTTAATTTAGGATTGCGTGTACTGCACTGATCTTCTAAGGAGGACCACTGAACATTGGCTCTATTGTGTAAGCTTGATACTTTGTATAAACGATGCATACTCAGCCTCCGTCAAGTCGAAAAGTGGAAAGAATTAATCAGACATTAAGAAGACAAATTTTGAAGTTGCGTCAGGAAACTCAGACGAAATAGGTAGATGCATTGCCACTCGCACTAATGAGAACTCGGATTACCCCCAGAGTCAGAGGTGTAAATCCTTTTGAAATACTGTATGGTAAACCATACCCAGTAAATGACTGAACTGGCAAAGATAGTCAAGTGCATGTAACAGGAGATCATTCACTACCTGGATATGTTATGCTTGGGGCACGTTCTCTCTTCCCTTCACAGGTACCTAAGCCAAAGATCCCCTATACCTTTAGATACTGCAGTACATGACTTCCAACCAGGCGATACAGTCTATATCCAAACTTGGAAGGATGAGCCCTCAAAGGAACAATGGAAAGGGCCTTACCTGGTACTGTTAGTTACTTACACTGTTGCTAAATAAAAGGGGTAGACTCCCAGGTATATTATACTAGAGTCAAGAAGGCTCACTCAGAAAAACAGTGGACTTCCAAACATATAAGGGACTTAAAATTAAGACTCCTAAAGAAAAAATAACTGGTGTGCAGATTCCCTAAAGACACTTACTTCCTCTGCTTTATTTTGATATTACTGTGGTGGCCAAAATGGGAGGTGCAAGCTTGATGTTAGTCACTCTGGGCATATATGTGTATATGTGTGAAAGTAACTTAGTTTTACAGCTTATACAGTCCTTTGGGAGAACCCACAACATGAGCAGTGTAACTGCCTGCCTACTGCTGCCAAAATCTGCAGCAAGCCCCTAGACTGAGAAATCTTGCCCAGTTCAAGCTGTGTTCTTAAGGCCACGATGACTAAATAAAATGCTGCACAGCTTTGAATTCTCCCTGACTGGATGGTTGCAAAGCTTACTACAAGGTATAATGTACATTGTAATAACAATTGGAATTATTGGTATTCTGTTTGGATGTGTCAAAAGCATAATAATGAAAAACTTACAGAGCAGTATGTACTGATTCCTAACGACAGGAATGATACTTATCTGAAGATGAGATTTAGATAAGTTTCAAAGGGGGCACAGGTGTAGACTGAGTAAAACCGGGTTAATGCCTAAACTATAGTGACACTTTAATTTAGGATTGAATGTACTGCACTGATCTTCTAAGGAGGGCCACTAAGCATTGGTTCTATTGTGTAAGCTTGATACTTTGTATAAACAATGCAGGCCTTGCTAGACTATACACTTGAAGAGGAGCTAAAAGATTGATAAAAGGGGAGCATCCTGCCCAAAAAGTGCTGAAAGTTGAGTAATTGCTAAAGAAGCAGAAAGTCAGCAAAAAACTATGGTAACTGGGGTAAAGGAAAAGGCAGCAGGGGGAGATCATGATCACTAACTCAATTCGAGACCAAAAAGACTTGCCCCCCATGCCTGTAAGGAGCATGCGTGCTAATTTACATAACAAGCAAGACTAATCTAAATATACCAATAATCTAAATAACCAATGAGGGACAAAGTGATAAACTAACCAATGGTCATTACAGTAAATGTGTACTCATGTAGTGTGAAGAGTGTATAAATACATTGAAGTTCCTTTGTGTGGTGTGCTAGCTTTGTTGAATTACCACCTAGCACCCATCTCTCTGCAGACATGAAATAAAATACTTCGACTCTGTGTGTATTGGCTTACCTACTGGGTGAAAGAACTCTTCTTTTGGGATAACACAGGCACCTCACAAAAGCCAGTTTCCTAAAGCTTCAGAATATCTGCAAAGCTGTAGGGTACTAACAATAAATATGCTGGTGCACATGTTCAGCTCTTCATCTTTACATTTCTAATACCCTCCACCCCAGCAAATGGCTGCTTGACCCTTAATCTAATTGAGCATCACGCCCATTGTCTGCATTCCAAAGCAAGTCACCACGGTCACTGCCTTCTCTCTACTTCAGAAAATAGACTGTAACTTATTATTCAAATTTTATGCTGGGAATACACAATGAAGTGAACTCATGATCTCTTAAAACAAAATTTGCCTTGCATTTTTCCTACATTTATAGTCTCTTTGTTCCTTCAAAAGTATTCCTCCTGCCTACAAGGTGATGTATGGTGTTTTTCCAAACATTTCGGAACCTCCAGCACTAAGAAGATCCCCACATTCATGAGGTAATGAAGGCTCCTGAATTCTGTGGACCCAAATCACCCCATAACCTGTGTTGAGACAGTTCACAGACCAAATATAGGGACAACCCTTACACCTAGCCTGCTTAGGGGCGCTAGGACACTCTCCTAGTATTGGCTAAAAAGCTATCAGCTTGCACTTGTGCTGTCCTCCAGTTGCAGATGTCTGATTATTTACAAATATATAAAGCTACTGGGCAGATTAAGCTGCAAGTTCAATTATAGTTAGAGCACTGGATGCTTCTAAATGGACATTTGTTTTATTCTTAAATATAAATAACAATTAAACATTAATAGTTGTAATTCTGCTATAAAATTTCAAAATTACATAGGTCCATGCCATACACACACTACTAAACATTTTGCATTCTCTATCACTCATCCTGGAAGATGTTAATTTACTTATGAGGTAGAATCTGTGACATATTCCTCTCAGCTTCCCTTGGCTTCTTCAATTCCAATTTCTCTCTATCACTTGGGAGGAAAAAATAGCTTTTAAGCAATATTTTTAAAAGAAAAAACAATTCTATCCTTCAGATGAAGTTTAATAATTTCACTAACCACAAATATCAAAGTATTTCTAAAGGGGTCACCAAATGTTGTATCAACATCTCATATATGGAAAACCAGTCCTCGGTAGTGAATTTAGATCAGTGGTTTCTGGTTGCTGACCCACAGGAATCCATGCACTTCTTTTCAGAAAACCATAAATGAAGGTTAAGAAAAGCTGAGCAATAGAGAGGCTCCACATCTCTATTGGAGTGTATTTCTGGCAAGAGACAATTAAAAATCACTGACCTAGACAAATGTGAGTTTTGGAAATAAACTCCTTATGAGCTGCTGGGACTCTCTTTTGTCTGTCTGTCTTCATGACTGTCATAGCAGGTGTTGGTAACATCTGAGATTTTGGAGAAAGCTCAAAGATACTATGAAACACCCTAATAACCTACATCCCAGATGAGGGTAGAAAGGCATGTCTAGAGGTCTGATAAGAGGTGCAATTCTGTTCACACATTAACCATAATTAGATAAATAACTCGGTATTTCCGATAATAATCATCACTGAAATAGTTAATGTTTACTTGAAATTACTGCCATTTAATTTTACAGCTCTCACTTCTACAGGATGAAAGGAAGTAATTCACATGTTCAGGTTACTAAACCCTGTTACCAGACCTTTGTTTGATTGTGCTTTGCACAAAGCATCTCAAGTGTTGGAATCCTATACCCCCTAATCCAGTATTATGGCACTAAGCTGCTGCACTGAATTCTTATGTCTGTGTGCCCATGGATGGTAGTAGCAGGAAGAATTATTGACTTTCTTTCACACAGTCTGCCTACCTAATCTACTGGCCATTTCAGCTGCTGCTTTCTCAAGTTTGTATACCTTTTTGGCCCAGCATACATACAGTTTTGTACCAGTAAAATTAGCTGTCACTCAATGTGTTTTGTAATAAATACTGATACCTGTGCAATCTATACAGTGATACACATCTATAAATGTAGAGGTGTATTGTATTAGAGTTGCATAGGGGCATAGTTTAGCTTAAAGCCTGGAGGTGTGCTACTAGCTTTGCCCTGTCCCCCTCACTACAACTCCTATTTATAGCATTCTTTTTACCTCAGTTGTCCGTTTCAGGACTTTTATGGGAGTCTTGCATCCTTTTCTAGACGTCTCACACATAATCACTCCGTATTTCTGTCTTCAAAGAACAATAATAAAAATGGGAGAACAATGCCATAAAGAGCTGTTAGGGAGCTGACAGGTTTGAACTGGGATTAAAAAGTAGGATTTCTGTGGTCTACAAAACTGTGTTGAAAAAAGTTTAAGTTTTTCCCTAGAAAGATTTCTGCATATAAAACGACTGAAATAAAAAATTTTAAATGTACTTGGCATAGTAAATGAAAAAAGAAAAAATAATATCTATGATTGTATTTGTGCTGAGAAAGTCTCTTTTGTTACACACTACTGATGCCTCCTGAGAATATTTTAAAATTATCTTTTGATACACATGCTTCCAACAACTCTTCTGCCTCTGTTCATGTCTGTACAGGAGACAGACATGGTCTCTGAGGAATGTGCCTGTTACAAGAGGATCCCTCATTTAGTACGAAACTGTTAAAAGTGTTCTTGATCTCCTGTCCTAACAAATTCCTCTCATTGTCCCCTAATATAAATAAGTGTTCCTCAGTTATGGGTAGGGTATATGGCACTATGGCTCTATATTCTTGGCAAGCAGAAGTTAACAGCACTAATTTATACAGGGAGTTGAGGATAGCGGAATATTGTTAGT